ATCATTGAATTATGAATTTTAATTTATGTTTTTCATATTAACAGCTTGTAAAAGTAAATCATTTTATCATAAACTAATTAAAAAAAAAAACTAGAAAGAGGAATTAAATGAACATAAAGAAGAAGAAATTATTTTTTACAATTAAGTACGGTACATTGTGTTTTCATCGGACCAGAAAAGTGATAAGTATTTGTGGGATGATAATTTATAATGTTTTTCCATGTAAATATTTGCAATGCAATGTTCTGATATCAATAACATTTTGGACATGAAAATATCAAGAATAGTTATATTACAGCTAAAGCAAATGTAATTAATCTATTTGAGTTTGTACAGATCATCTCTGAAAGAATGAACTCGAATTGATTAATGCAAATATCAATTATTTGTGGTTTAATCATTAATGCACATACTTAATGGATCATGATTATGATATTGGTTTTCATATCCAAGGCATGAGTGATTCAAATAATTAATAAATCCACCTAATAAGCTAATGAAATGAATATGAAAGAGTGAGGGAAAAAGATGCTTTGGTTTTGCATTCTTTGATACATTTGCATTGATCTCCATCCATATTTGTTATAAATCCTCACTTTAATTAAAGCAATAAAGTGGTGTTTTTTTTCTTATGTTTTGATTAGTAAGGCAAGGATTGACTGGTGGCTTTCTCTTGGCAGTTAGAATTTCAATTAGGACTCCATAAGGTGTTGGAGATATTACACTGATAACGTGCATAAATTATATTCTCAAAACGTACATTTTACTTGAACAAAATCAAACATAGTTTCTACTTACCAAAATAGAATTTGGGTGATATTTTGTTATATTATTTTCTTGTAGTCATCCATATATCTCGTATTTCGTAAACGATCTCGCTATTGCGGCCGTTGACGGTTGCGATCGTCGACCGCCCTAGTTGAGTTCATTTCCTAGGTCCGCCACTGACAATGACATTGAAATGTAAGGATGTTTAGTGCTATTTATCCATTAAAAGAATATCTAGCATATTAGTAAATTTAACTTAATTTTAAATTCAACCAAAGAGGGTTAGTGGAACAATTGAAATTCAATCTATACAAACCTAATCAAGTTCGTACATTCAAATATGAATTAAACCTTTGTAGAGTAGTGATAAATAATTCACTTGATCTTGACTAATTTTTTATTTTAATATTGTTTCCTTACAAAACAATATGTTAAGAAATCAATAACAAAAATGGTTTCAAATAAGACGATGAATAGTTTTATGCACTAAACATTAATATTAACGAATACACTGGAAGCTTAATTTAGTTATTTCTTTAATTAAATAAAAACGATGAATAGTTTTATGCACTAAACATTAATATTAACGAATACACTGGAAGCTTAATTTAGTTATTTCTTTAATTAAATAAAAAAGAGAAGCAGCTTATTTTGAGAGAAAATTATTCTTAAAATTGACATTTCCCTTGAAAATGGGCTCTATCACATACAAAAATTGGGCCCAACCCTGGACCCGAGCGATCTTTATATTTTTCAGAAAATGCATTTTTACATCTGTTAGAAATATTAAGGGCATGTTTGGTACAGATTTTCATTTTCTACAGTAAATCAATTCTCATTTTCAACCACACATTTTTCAATAAAATAATATTTTCCATCACATCAATACTTTTTTCTTCTTTTTCAACCACACATTTCC